TCCCAAAGACCTTGACACCTGAATAAGACTTTCATCTGTTTGCACCAATTCTCATAGTTGTCAACTTTCAGAATTGATAGCGTTGCTGGATAGTTTGCATTCCCATAACTTGTCATTGTAAATTCTTCAATCGTTATTGATTGATACTTCCCTTGAATCGAAACAAAAGCTCTTGATATTAGATGTTGGAAATCCACCAAAGTCTGTGATGAATTTTTACCACAATGACAATTTAATTATGAGACAAAAAAAGAAAAGAAGACAAGACAAATAATTTCTGCAGAGTTTCTCTCTGCTCACAAACTGTGAAAACTTTGTTATTCACTTGCAACTGCAAATTCTGTGAATACAACTTACTTGACTTGCTTAAAAAAATAGGGGTTACTCCATCTATTTATAACTGAGCTTACACCCTAAGCCCAAAGCCCAAAATATATTTTTGTTACTAAATCAAATCAAATCTATTATAGACTTAAATCAAATCTATTTAACTCTAAAACAAATCAAATGTTTTCGACACATTGTTTCGACACACTGGATTACAATTTAACACTTCCTACATTTTTTAAATAACTCAACAAAAAATTAAACCAAAACACCAACCCATATTCAAAACAAAAGTTGATTTACAAGTATGTTTCAATAAAAAAGACAATCCACAATAGAATAAGGAAAACCCAAATCATCGATCTGAAGCGAAAAACAAAACTTATTCCACCAAACTTATGTGATTATGCTACCGCCCAAGTGTTTGGGACACATTCTTCATATTGATTATACGTATACATTTTGTGAGGTGTATACTGTTACTACGTTTTGATGAAGAATAAATACATTTGGATAGCTATTCAGTATTAGGATTAATTTAACACATGTTAGTATATATGTTCTTTGATTGCTCTGGAGTCTAGGACTATTCTTCTTTATATTTACTTCTTTTGAACGAGTTGCATGTGTAGCTTCGTAGGTAACTTCTCCAACATATACTTGTGGCATAGAAAATCCCGACATAACTTTAATACTTTGCTCTTTTTTCTTTTTCCTTTCATAAAAATATGAGATTGTATTTTGGCATCACAAATGACACTAAATACTTATATTATATATTGTTTATTGTATTTATATGATAAATAATATTTTTTTATTAAATTAATTATTTTTAAATAAACAATTATAATTTAAAAAAAATTATATTTTAAATTTATTTTTATAATACAAATATAAAATTATGTTATTAATCAATTTTACAATTGTATTAATCACAAAAATATATATTATTAATCAATTATTTTACTTATAATTTATTAACTACTTTTATTACTTCGTTAACCAATAAAATATATATTATTAATCATGTTCTGACACTAAATTATAAATATATTAATTAACTTTTATATTCTATTAATCAATTTTATTTTACTATTTAATAATTTTTTTATGTCTGAGAACTCACTAATCAATTTATGAATTCTAATAATCAACTTTATACATAAAATTAATCAAAGTCTGAACGGTATATATATATATATATATATATATATATATATATATATATATATATATATATATATATATATATATATATATATATATATATATATATATATATATATATATATATATATATATATATATATATATATATATATATATATATATAAATTTTTTAGGTCAGAATACATATTAATCAAACTTTGAACTGTATTAACCACATTTTAATATTTTATTAATCAAATTAATTTTAGAGAAAAATATATTAAAAAGTTAAAATAATATAAAAACAGTGTTCACGTATTTTTGAATAGTGTATATGATGTAGTGTAATTTTTTTATGTCAAGATATCATTTCTCTAAAAATATACTTAAAATCAGTCGTATTAAGAAAAGAGAAAGACAAATCAGAGAAAAGAAAGATGTCTTTCTTAAATGAATATTTACTTTTCTTCATAAACAAAAATATATATTGTAATTTTTTTTTAAAACAACGACAACTTAAAACTACATATTCATGTCTTAATTTATTTTTTATTAGAAAACATAGAAATTTCAACTTCTATCTAATACGCGTTGATGTATGTTATGAGTCACCCACATGATCCACAAATAAGGGTCAAACAATAAGTGTTGAAGAAGAAGTCGCATGGAACAAGTGGCCATAACTCCTATTGAGAACACACAATATTATCATGTCTTCCATCATATCTCTCATTATTGGATTTGATCAAATGGCAACTCACAAAGACACTAAATCACACTCTAATGGTTTTAACGGCACACTATATAAAGGCCATTTCGCGCCATTTCAACTTTTCAATTTATTCTCACTTAAAAATTTCTTCTCACTTATTCGCTGTCTTGACCATTAGAGTGTTAACCTTTCAAGTCAACCTCTTCTCTATCGCACTAAAAGTTCAATCCACTACACCTAGAGAATATCCTCTAAACATGAATTATATTCCATTAATTCATAACCTATCTCTAGTTTCTGAAAGGAACACTGACGTCGTTTGTGAAAATCGCTTGTTAATTCCTTTAAAATTTTCATGTCAAACCACCACCTATTCACTGTATATTCAAATCGATGATCTTCTTCTCATAAAACATTGATATCCTTGTCAAACAGATCAAATATTAAACTCGCAAAGTCACGGTGACGCCAAAGATTACTAGATGTGTCACTGAATGTCATGTCGTTGTGGTAGTAGTTAAAGCTAACAAGGTTCCACTTTATCCTCCTATAGAAAATGATTCAGTTCTAGTGACCTATCCATATGTTCCTGTGAAACAAGATTTTGTTCCTCCTAGATTTGATTAACAAAATGTTCCAAACCATTATGTTTTTCCAACCTCTACAACAACTTTGCAAAAACCAACCTTCGAAACAATCTCCTTCACAACCATTAATACCTAAATAAGAGATACTACGAAATATTAAACAACTACAAGCTAAATTATGTATGCGAGGAGTCTTCGATTTGTTGAACAATGTCTATAACTTAGTACAACAAAAAACCCTCAAGTTTTGGTAGACAAGATACTCAAGACTGTAGAGAATCTGCAGTGCAGTCCTTCGAGAGCCAACACCATGCGCAAAATAGCTTCACACAACAACCAATAGGTTATATCACAATCTACTATAATAGACTCAACTTCACTACACAAAGTAGTCCCAAGATCACCAAATTGTAACCGAAAGAAGGAGTTCAAACTCTTCCACTAAAGTCCAGAAGGAGAATTTGCAGTCATAAATACAACGACCTCTAAGGGAAAGAGGAACCATATATCTATACAAATTCTTAACATCAGGATCCCCGGGCAGAAACCTATCAAAGAAAACAAGCATTCGTGAAAGGATGACACACCCATCATACTTGTTATAGATCCTCTTATTCATTTTGGGAGGAAACACTCCCCAGTCTTAGGGGAGACCTATTTCAATAAAGGTGTGATCTAGACTACCATCACCGACGAAGGCGAAAATGATATCCATCGTCTCTTGATCCACCTACATGGAAGAGTTGTCTCTTGCCGCTTTCTAGGATGTGAGTTGAGAGTTGTTCATGTCCAAAAACATTGCCAACACGTAAAAGAAATGATCTTAAGCAGAAGCACATGGTCGATATAATGATACACTTTGTGCCTCCACTAAAGTATGAAAAAAAAAGGTTAGAGAGACACCTAATCAAGTAAGCAAGTACGAAAAAAATAAAGGTTCAAATTTAGGCGTTACCCTGGAAAAGAGGGACTTAAGAACCCTTCACTCTATATGGTCTTCCAAAAGAGGTGGCGCAAGTATGCCAGGGATAATGGTCAATGAGAGGAGATTGGCAAAGACAAATGAGGTTTCAGACCCGAGAGAAGAGTTCTTAAAGATTTACAAATGATAAAAATGGACACATGGTAACTCTAGAACTCCTTATATATCTCCATAGGAAGATGAATTGTGTGATCCATAATATTAGAAAATATGAACCGGACCACCAATCATTGATATCTCATCGAAAAAATATTCAAGAACACTCAAATTTTCTAGTAATAAAAGGAATCATTACCAGCAGGCATAAGGACTCATGTTGAGATGTATTTGTGAAAAGTCACTAATCACGAGGGAGACATCTAATGCACCTATTTCCAATGACATCAATGTCCCATAAAAACTTTTCCATTTATTTCTACCACAAATTGAACCAAAAACGAACTTGAAAAGCCCTCGTTCTCCAATATAGGAACAATGGATTGGGGAAACTATGTATTTTGTTTGCATAATTTCCTTTCCCCATAAAGATATTTACTATTTCCTTCATTTTAAAATGAGTGTCGTTTTAGAGAGATAAAATTTGTTTCAAAATGAATGTCATTCCCACTTTTTAATATAGTAATTAAAATTATTTTTCCAATTATATCCTATAATTATTACTTTGCACATTACTCTGAATAAATCAATAAGACTAATTTAATAAAAATACAATATCTCATAATAATATAATTACCTTTAATTTATGTACAATAACTCTAAACAACACTCATTTTAGACACTAGTTCATAATATCTTAGATTAGGAAAACAAATCCCGTGTGGTCCACAACATGGATTTTATTTTTAACTCAACAACTTGAATCTATTGTACAACACCATACTTTAAACTAGTTTTGTTATAAAAAATAATTAATTCCTAAAATATAAACACCCGAATCTAGCTAATTAATTTATAAATATATCTGAATTTTAAATTTTTGGTTGTTTGATTTGCACTATACACCACATTACATGAGATATCATAAGAGCACACGCAAGCATGCACTACATGAACTTTGACCAACACAACCAAAAAATTTTTAATTAATTAATAATCACTCACACGCACACACTTGTTCTTCTTATAAATTCACACACATTCTCTTCCAACTTCCAAACACATTCATTCACAACTTCTAGTAACCAACCTTATAGTTATATCTTCTCTCAAAAAACACAACAACACACACAAAACTATACAAGAAATGGGTTTGGAAAATAATAGCCACCAACTTTTATCCAAGATTGCTACCAACAACAAACATGGTGAAAATTCTCCTTATTTTGATGGATGGAAAGCTTATGAATCAAACCCATTTCACCCCACAAAAAATCCTCAAGGTGTTATCCAAATGGGCCTTGCTGAAAATCAGGTATAATTATATACTTGCATGTATAACTTCATATAATTAATTTGATTAATAAGGTTGTGCTAACCATGTATACATTTATTGAATTTTTCAGCTCTCTCTTGATTTGATTGAAGAATGGATAAAGAATAATCCAAAAGCTTCAATTTGTACTCCAGAAGGAGTGAATGAATTCAGAAATATTGCAAACTTTCAAGACTATCATGGATTGCCAGAATTTAGAAATGTAAACAATATTACATGCATTCTCCTTCTGCACTCTAGTCCTATTTATCACAGAAAATTCACTTTTTAAATTTATTAAATAATTAATATATTTATATTATATAGATTACATATATTGATTATTCAGTATGATTAAAAAATAATTTTCTTCTTATAATAAAAAAACAGGAGAGTATAAAAAATGTATCATCATAATCATAATGTTGTGAAGAAAAAGTGATTTTTTATTTTATTTGATTATATATTTGTAGGCTGTGGCAAATTTGATGTCAAAAGTGAGAGGTGGAAGGGTGAGATTTGATCCTGACCGTTTATTGATGAGTGGAGGAGCAACTGGTGCAAATGAGTTAATAATGTTCTGTTTGGCTGATCCTGGTGATGCTTTTTTGGTTCCTAGCCCTTATTATCCAGCGTATGTAACCTTTTTTTTCTTCTTTTCATTTTATATATTATTCAATGAATGTTTTCTATCTATATACCTTAAAAATGGACAAAATTTAAAGGTACCAAACTGCATTAACTTTTTTGTTTTCATTTAAAGGGAAATTTAGAAAGTGCACTAGCTTAACTTTAAACAAAGGAGAAAAATTTCATTGAAAAACACTTCATTCTATCATGTATTTTAATTATTTTTAATAAATAATAATTTTATTTCCTGGTAAAAAAAGTTATATAAAATGTTTTTTTTTTAATTTACTTTTTGCCATTAGGCTGCTACTACCTCATTAGTCAACAATCAAGTTTGTTGCCAATATTTAATTAAAAAAAGCATAAGTTAAAGTTTATACTTGTCATTAACCTTTTATTCAACTTAAAGAATTATTAGAACATAAGGCAGCCAAATATAACACAACTTGGAAATTTTGCAAGGTCAGAGATCTTATTCACAGAGAATGTCCAAACTTTTTTTGTTAAAAGAAATTTCATGGAATGCGCTATACATTAAACCACATAAGATTCGCACTTTTTCTTCTTTCATTTAGATCAAAGTTTTGTGAATAGAATCATTTTTTAATGAAAATTGTAAATACTTTATGTTTCTGAATTATACCTTGAAAAATCTATAGGCAACTTTAATTCTTTGTCTGACCAAATAATAAGGACCACATAGGATTTGAATTTGCTTCATATTTAATGACTTGATTAAGAAGTGGCAAATTTTACTAATACCACTTAACTTATTTTAGATTTTTGACCTAATTTACTCAATAGGTGAAAATCGATTTTAAGTCAATAATAGTCTAAATTTCTTATAAGTGTCTTATCTTTTTCAACTGTGTTAAAGATATGATATAAAAAAATCATTTTAAATTTGACAAATATGTTATAACAGATTTGTCCGTGACTTGTGTTGGAGAACCGGTATGCAACTAATTCCAGTCCAATGTCATAGTTCAAACAATTTCATGATAACAAGAGAAGCACTTGAAGAAGCTCATAAAAAAGCACAAGAAGAAAACATCAAAGTGAAAGGTTTAATCATAACAAATCCATCGAACCCTTTAGGAACAACAATTGAAAAAGAAACACTAAAGAGCATAGTGAGTTTCATCAATGAAAACAACCTTCATTTAGTGTGTGACGAAATCTACTCGGGCACCGTTTTCGACACTCCGAAATTCGTAAGTGTCTCCGAAGTTATCCAAGAAATGGAAGACGTGAAAAAGGATCTCATTCATATCATCTATAGTTTATCCAAAGACATGGGACTACCGGGTTTTAGAGTTGGTTTAGTTTATTCGTACAATGACGAAGTTGTAAGCTGTGGTCGGAAAATGTCAAGCTTCGGGTTAGTCTCGTCCCAGACACAACATTTTCTAGCGGCAATGCTGTCTGATGACAAATTCATGGACAAGTTTTTAGCAGAGAGTTCAAGAAGGTTAAGGGAGCGGCGTGAGTTTTTCACAAAGGGACTCGAAAAGGTTAGCATTACTTGCTTACCAAGTAATGCGGGACTATTCTTTTGGATGAATTTGAGAAGTTTGTTAAAAGAGAAAACATTCGAAGGTGAAATGAAGCTATGGCGATTGATCATCAATGAGGTGAAACTTAATGTTTCACCGGGTTCGGCTTTTGAATGCTCTGAGCCAGGTTGGTACCGAGTTTGTTTTGCCAATATGGATGAAGAAACCGTTGAAATTGCATTGATGAGAATTAGAGCATTTGTTAATGGAAGAGAGAAAGGGAAGAAAGTTGAAATGAAACGTTGGAAGAGTAATCTAAGACTTAGTTTTTCGTCAAGAAGGTTTGAAGAAAATGTTATGTCTCCTCATTCACCAATTCCTCATTCACCACTGGTTCGAGCAACTTAATTGGAACTGATTTCAGAAATTACATATATAATCTATACATTATTTTACTTTAAGGCTTGATTAATTAACTATATAAGTATAATGTATCATAGATAGTTAGATTAATTGGATTTCCAGTTTTTCTAGCTATGATTTGTTTTCTTTCTTTTATTTATGATTTTCAATTTGTATGTTGTTATCCTATATATATAGACAGTTAACTTTATTGTATTTATTTAACCTGAAATGATTTCAAATATATATATATATATATATATATATATATATATATATATATATATATATATATATATATATATATATATATATATATATATATATATATATATATATATATATATATATATATATATATAATACTTTGTGATTTCGAAACTAATTGTTTACATTTGAGAATAAAATCTCATATCAATCTAAATGTACTCTCTCCAACTTTAATTATAAATAGAAAAAAAATCAATTTTATATTTTATTAAAATTTATAGTCTATATTTAGTTTTTTTTTTTTAATTTTATATAAAAGAAGTAAAGAACTAATACAATTATTAACTTATTCTTAATAAAACGGTAGTTTAAAATTTTTTAAAAAGTATAATAATTTTGAAAATGGTGGGAAGACTTTTTTTTATAGTAAAATATAACTTCATTAATAACAAACCAACGAGAGTTACACATGTCATAAGACAATTGAAATAGAACATACTCCATACATAATTTAGAAAAAAGACAAAATACTAGATAGTCATAAGAGATATTATACATAAATTGTTCACAAGTTAATGCACAACTAAATCAAAAACAATAATAATTCTTTCCGCAACTCATTCCGTTGCAAACACCATCAATAGTAATGTGGGAGTGAGAATCCATAATCTTTTTCTAAATCTAATTACAGATGATTTTTTTGATTTGTATTTGCATATTTCGATTATTTTTGGTCTCAATATTACTCAATTTTCTCAAGTGTTCACAGATTAATAGGTAACTAGAGATATCATTGTAATGGATGTTGAACACATAAGCTTCCTTAATTACTATGAAATGCCAATAGACACATATAAACATGCTGCAAAATCCAAAACTCTTTTGAGATATTTTGTCAAACACCAAGAGTGCATTCTTAAACCTTAAAAGACTAAAAAACAACCCATATAACACATAAACAAAATGAAGCAACTTTGTCAGTGGAGATAATTTCTTACGGTAAAACAACCATGGTGGCTTCGGGGGTGGACAGACGAATGACAACATTAAAGAAGTAGCTACAATAGAGAAAGGTGCATTCACCATTGATGAGTTTGAGGTGTGCAGAAAATCTTTAACAAGTTTGTAATTCCTTGGTGGTGGTATAAAGCAAGATTGGTGGCGAGAGGTTTTTTACAAAAACCTGGTATCGATTTTGACGAAGTATATCCAGCTGTTGCAAGACTAGAAACAATCAGAATTATTCTTTCAACAGCAGCATATAGAGGATGGAAGATACATCAGTTAGATGTAAAATTAACATTTCTGAATGGGCCATTGGAAGAAGAGGTATATGTTACTCAACCACCAGAATTTGACATCAAAGGGCAGGAGTAGAAGATTTATAAATTAAGGAAGGGTCTCTATGGTTTAAAACAAGCTCCTAGATCTTGGAATAAGAGAATAGATAGCTTCATAATTAAAACAGGCTTCACAAAGTGTATCTCTGAACATGGAGTGTATGTAAATGATGTCAACAGTGATAGTCAAATCATTTTATGCCTCTATGTAGATGATTTCACTACTAAAAATATGACATTTGAGAAAAGACCTTTACATCAGGTATAAAAATAAATGATGTAAAAAATATTTGTCAAAAGATTTTACATCAGACTTTTATTCCCCTGATATAAAAAATATATGATTTAGAGGAAAATATAACAAGGTGGCAGTTTGGTAAATAAAATGAAATTTTTTATAAGGGATTTTACATCGGACCGTTAGTATCCACTGATGTAAAAAGTCCAATAATAAAATAATACAAACACGGTGGCAGTTTTGTAAATAAGGTGCATTTTTGTTTTAAAAAAAGTGACCCTTAAATCGGGCCCTTTGCCCAATCGATGTAAAAAAACACACGGTGGCAGTTTTATAAATAAGGTGCGTTTTTATTTTAAAAAAAGTGGCCCTTACATCGGGCAATTTTCCCAACCGATGTAAAAGACTGGCCCTTACATCGGGCCCTTTTTCGAACCGATGTAAAAACCTATATATGTGTCACAAAACCCTAATGTTACTACAAATTTCCAATCGCACAACCATACGTCATCTTTAGCCGCGCTTCATCTTTCTCGATCATCCACAGATTTCCTCCGCGGGCGAGCTCTCCGGCGGGCGCCTTCACCTTCGTTGTAACCATCCATGCATCCGCCTCCTCTTTCGACTTCCATCCGCCCAGCCACGCGTTCCCAACACCCGCTCGCTCTCAGCAACAACCTCCCATCTCCACACTCCAACAACCTTCGTCGTAACAACCTCCGTCTACCCAGCCACATGACCCTTGGTGTTTTCGCATACCACAACAACACCAACCCTTTTGGTAAATATTTTTTCACCATTTTATTAGTTAGTTTGTTCTATTTGAAATGATGAAAATGATGATACTATTGTTGAATTAATTGGTAAAATTGGTGATGTTGTTGTTGTGAGGTTTTAAATAATAGTGATTATTATTGTTATTGATTAATGGAGAAATTGGTAATAGTATTGTTAATTGTTATTGTTGAAGGTAGTGATGATATTGGTTTTGAAGTTGAGAATTGATAATGATTTTGTGGTTGTTATTTTAAGTTGAATGTTGAGGTTTTGGGTTGATAATACCATTCAATTTGTGTTAAATTATAGGATAGATTTGTGATGTCAATAACAATGTTAGTTGAGATAATTGATTGAAATTTTTTTATTGATGATTATGGTGTTTGTTTATGTCAAATTGGAGTGAGATTTTATTGTCAATACCACGTTATTTGAGTTTAATTTGATCGGAATTTTAATTGGTATTATGGTGTTGTTTTTGGAGCTTTGGTGTCGACACTGCATTATTTGATTTAAATTCGGGAAACCATCTCCCTCCGTCTCCCTCCGCCCTCAGCCTCCGGACGTCGCATCATCTCTCTCCGCCCTCTGTTTCTGACAGGTTAGATTTAATATTATTGTTACTGTTATCCAGATTTATACTACATTTTATCTAAAGGAATGAACGTATTTCTACCCAAACTAGAAACATTCAAGGACAATTAAGTAGGACGTATTCTATTTCTATATTATTTGTAACGAAGTTTCCTATATTAAGTCATTGTGGAGTGATCTAACAAGTAAAGAATGTTAAAAAAACATTAATTATTAAAAAAGTATATTAGAAATAAAAATTTCTAATGATTTAACTATGTATTCATTAATTTCGGAACATAGTGTTGGCTCCTAAATTCGACACCTTTGTTTTGTTGATGTCAGCCATTAAAAGCTGAAAGATGCTTTCGACTGGCTAAGTCTGTCGAAGTGCCCGTCGAAAGATGGCAAAATACTTAGAAGATTTCTTCCAAGGAAGAAGGCTGGTTGCCTTCGACGTCGAAGGAGTTTCTCGTCGAAGATGTCTCTGGACGAAAGTGTTCGATGGTCCAGAGTGGAGCAGTTTGAAATTCAAGCGTTTGGAGGGAAAACGGTTTCTAGCAGTTACCACGTGCAAACGTGCAAGGATCTGGAGCGTCGAGCATGGAGAACGTGCCAAGTGGATTGATCTCGAAGCAGTGTAACTGCCCGACGGTTACTTGGAATGTTTTAGTATAAATAGGAGTAGACATGTAGTTTCTTGCGGGTGTTCACAATTCTATACAAAGTCACTCATATAGATTCGAGTACCCAGCGTGTGAGAAAGAATTGTTGAGAAATGTATGTGTGAAACACCAATTTTATCAATTAAAGTCATTTACTTTTCCAGAAATTTACTTGCTTTCTCCTTTAAATTCCTGTCGAACCTTTTACTTTAAAGCCTTGTTTATTTTACCAAGTCTTTCCTTTATGCAATTTACTTGAAACCTTTTATTTAAAGCCTTATCCACTTTAATCAAACTTCAAAATCAACCTATGTCCTAGGATCAATCTGATCGATCCTGCGAGTAACCAAATAAGTAACCATTTGGAGGATCAGCGGTTGTTTACCAAAACCCAAGGTAAACAAATTGGCACACCCGGTGGGACTGTGTGTTGATTGTTGAAAATAATCTCATCTTTTCGAGTTGTATGTTATTGAGAAGTGGTAGAATATACACTAACGATAACAATACTGCCAGAAGAAGGGAAGAGATGGCGAATCCGCCAAACACTAACGAAATCCCACAAACGAGTGTGGGAGCAACGGTTAATATGACCGTAAGTGAAGCGACAAATGTTGGTTCGACACCAGCAGTATCGGTCACAACCACGGGGCCAATAACTTCGTTAACAGGCCCCAGAATACCTTTGGGAACTCCCCCACCAAGGGGAAATTTAGGCACAAGGCCTTTGGTTCCCCCAGGATTTATTCCATTCTATGGTATGCCAACTTCTGAAGTGGCAAGCCTGACGAATGCTGCGTCCACTTTTTCAGACCCTTTCGTGAGTGCCTCTTCGCCACTCCAAGGCTCTGGAGTAGGCATGGGGAATAGAAATAGGACTTAACTCTTAGGAGGAACGTCCCAAGTAGCCCATGGCCTTACAAATGCCTCGACAGCAGTCTTGAGGCAATAAATGGACGAAAGCAATCATGATATGGTGCAAATGTTGGCACAAACTTTGAGTACAGTGCTAAACCCTCTAATACAAAATACTACTCAATCGAATCAGCAAGTTACAGCGCAAATGACGCGTTTGGCTGACTTCTTTGGAGTACCCCCACCTATTCGACAGCCCCAAAGGGCGCAAATAAGGGGAAATCAGGGGATATTTGTAGAGGAAGAAACCATCATTAACCAGGCTCAACAGCCTGTCGAAGAAAACCT